TGGAGGCTAAAAGTACAAATCAGGGTCTCAGCCATTTTGATTCATTCTATAGGCCTCTCTCCTGCTCTCTGGTGGTTGCCACTAGTCCTTAGGGTTCATTTGCTGCTTATACATGCATCTGCCTCCTTCATCACATAGTGTCTGTCTTCCCCTGTGTATCTGTCTCTCTGTATCACTTCTCCCTTTTTATAAGATACTACTCAGAGCCCTGCCCTGTCCTCCATCAATTTTTTTTTCTCTTTTTTTATTTTTATTTTTTTCTTTTTTGCTTTCTTTTTTCTGGTGATTAGTTTGCTTATATTTCTCTGTTTTAAAACAACTAATATTATTAATACTTTTGTCGTTTTTATTATTATTCTTAATATTCCCCTCCCAGGTCCTAGTTTTCAGCATTTTTCTTTTCCCTGTGCCTGGTTGAATTTTTTTTTTTTTTTAATTTAAGGTGTTTTTTCTTGTGGTTAACTCTGTTCCTTGATTTTCTTTTTGCATTTTTCCAATTTTTTTCTTTCATTTATTATTCTCCTTTGTGCCCTATCCCCAGATGTTACAGGTTTTCTTGTTTTTTCTTCTTTTTTTTCCCTTTTTTCTTTTTTTGGTTACTGTTCCTGTGTGATTACATGGTGTGTTTCTTGTCCATGGGCTTTTAGTTTTTGATGGTTATTCAACTGTAATTTGTGTCTAACTGAGTGGGAGACAACAGCAGTCCCCATAAGACACAACTACACACACACCTCCTGCAACTTCACTTACTGAGCAAGAGCCACTACTACCTCCTTCTCCATCAATGGGCCAATGATAAAAAACCACCAGGAAGAGGCTGAATCACCCTTGGCTGCTCTTCACAGTTAACAGAGATCTAAATACAACGATGCCATGATGCCTCGAAAACAACAGACCATCACAGTCCACACAAAGAGGCAAGATAAAGTGGTAGAAACAAGGAAGCAGGATACAGACCCAGAACACATCCCTGAGGAAGAAGCAGCATTCGAACTCTCTGATAAGGAATTCAAAAGAATTATCTTTAAGTGTCTTCAAAGGA